ATGCCCAGCTGCAGGGGTCAGACAATCCGGGTTTTGTTTGCACAGCATTTCCACACATGGGCAACTGCGTCTGAAGTGCCACAAGTCCGGAAACTTCAGGTGCAGATAGAAAAATCAGTTGTATACAATAATATAATTATGATAATACAATAGATAATAATCAGCAATCCAAATAAGAAGAAACAGTAAGAACCGCACAGCATCTTTGTCTGAATTTTGTCATGGTTCGCGACTGGTGCAGCGACTGACCGCTGCCGCCAAGAACTATGCCAGGCACATGCTGGCAGCCACGTGGGGGTACTTCCAGCCCCTGCCTGTGCCCTGCCAAGAGGCACCCCCACCGGACGACCGCAGGGCCCCCAGCCGGCAGGGCACCCCCATGCAGGGGCTGGACACCTCCAGCGAGTCCTCTACCCGTGACTTCCCCGAAATACAGCGTCTGCGCTCGCTGTGCGGCAGTGCCCAGGGCCACCTGCCATACGAGTCCTTCTGGGCCCCTGGCCCCCCTGAGGGGCCCCAATCGGATGACAACAGCTACACCGCAGACATGGACACTGTGCCCAGTGAGGACAGCTCTGGCAGGTGGCCCTTGGGACGGGGCCACTGGCTGTTAAACCTGCCGTGCAGCGAGTGCGAGGGGTTTTGCTTTGCATTCAGGTCAACCTGTGAGCACCACCTGCTGCCCTTCTACGGGGACATCTTTGTGGCATACAAGCCTGGAGACAGCAGGCTGAAACTGAGCCATGATCAGATCGAGGATCTGGTGAACGTTTTCACCCTCAGGCTGCAGGTCCAGGAGAGGATTACCCACCAGGTCGCGGATGCCCTCACAGGGTTAGTGGGCCCAGCGGGTGTGCTGGTGGTGTGCCAGGCGGCGCACAGCTGCATGCTAGCCAGGGGGGCGGAGTGCCACTCGGGGACCACGGTGACCACGGCCATGAGGGGGAGAGTGGGGCGGGTGATGGCGGAGGCGGCGCAGAGGGCACTGCGGGAAAGGGCGATGTTGCAGACATGCGGCGCCACCCCGGTGCCCCTTGCGGGGCTCGAGCCATGATGCCAGCGCCTGCAGGGACATGTGGGCCTTGCTGTGTGGAGTTGCATGGAATGGAGCTGCACTTGCAGGCTGGAGCAGTGCTCTTGCAGTCATGAAACAGTGATCACCCTTGATGTGTGCATGTGAGTTGGGTTACAGGAGGGCATCTGCAGGGGCAAATAGCAAATGGGCTAGTGGAGGAAGGATGCTGCGTGGGGAGGTCGCAGCAAGTGGTCTGGCAGTCAAGCGGTGTGCGTGCAAGGGCACGTTCCAACAGATCCAGGTCCACAGTAATGTCAGGCAGGATTCGTGCTGTGATTGAGGAGTGCTGAAGCCCTGGCTCGTTGCGCACGGGTGTTGCTGAAGGAAGCAGATTGGTTTGATGTAACGATGTCAGCATGGTCGACTCCTTCCCAAGTTTGTCAGTATTGGTAGATTAACATTCTTTGGGGCAACATTTCTGTTGTTTACATTGTGCGAAGTTTTGATTTAACAGTCTGGACTTGGGCAAATAAGTGCATGGATTTATTGTATAGTATGATGACCCGCCCAAGTGTCAGCATGTTATACCAATGAAAATGAGAAAAACAAAGGAAAAAAACAAGGGTGGGTGCGTTGGTCTATTGGTGTCTATTAGTGTCTATTATTAGTGTTTATTGGTGTCTATTAGTGTCCATTAGTATATTTTTGTATGGTGTGTTGGGGTGCACACAAATTGAAACTCCTGAAAATGTGAAAAGAAAGGAGCGTATGGGAGGTAGGGCCACGTTCCTCGACATGGGGAAGAATAACAGAAATATCATTATCTTTGTCAGGCAATCCTACCTTAGCATAGAAGAAATGTTTTATTATCGTATTTCTTTTTTCTACATTTTGTGCAGCCGCAAAATGGGTTGCAACACCTGCCATTGGCCACCCTCATTTTACTCTCACTTGGCCCCCTACATGGGCGAGGGTGTGTGTCCATGTATTCCAGGGCTGGCAGTGAATGAGGGTGCTCGGGTGTGCTTCAAAATATGGGATCTAGTTATACAGTACTTTGAGACTGTAACCTGCCCAGTGGATGTGACGTCCGTGGGGTTGCATTGCGGTAGCAAGGGGACAATTTGGAGAATTTTTGTGACTATGAATGACGTTGATTGGAATGGTCATCGAGTTGAAATGTTGTTATGACAAGAGGTGGAAGGATTTTACTGGGTAAAGAGCGACATGCAAGGGGATATGACATAATTTGATGGGGATAGTCCTTTGGGACTAACACTGTCAATCTGGACTCCAAACTGCGTTGTAAATGCTGGTGATTTTGTCAGGAGCTGGGGATTTTGCGGGAACTTTTTGAGAATATAAGAAGAAAACGTTGGTTATTTGACTTTTTCCTTGACTTCCTCGCTTGACTTCCTATATCTTGGTCATGATGTACTTGCGTACAATAAAATACGGGGAGGGTTCAACTGTTGAGCTGATGGGAGTCTTGTACATTAGTGTCATGATCTATGCTTGTAACTTGAGTAAATATTGAGTAATCATTTGTGGTTGCGGCGTATGCGAGAATGGAAGGGTGCAGCCCTTTTGAAGAGGCCGCATGTGAACGGTCACATAAAAGTAACTTTTAAGGATTCAAGCGACCTCTCCTTCTTATAAAAGGGTCGTGCGCCGCTGTGGGACCGCCATTCTCCCATTCGTTCGTGCTTGGAATTTTTCTTGTTATTTCTTGTTATTTCTTGTTTCTTGTTTTTTCTTGTTATTCTTGTTATGTTGCTGTGTGAGCGATCAACCATGTGGTGGCGAAACTTGTTGGGAAGCAGACATTTTGAACGCACATCGGCAGCTGTGGTCATGTGGTTGCATTGCAAAGGCCTCGGAGCCCAGCTTTCCGGTCTGAATGGCGTCTCCTGACCCTGGCACGGCATCTTGAGGCATGCGGCATGTGTCCCCCTGCGTTTAAGGGATCTTTGGGTGCTTGCTCTGCTGAAAATCAAAGCAGCAGCGCGCAGCTGGCCGAACAGGCTGAGGAGCTCCCTGAAGGGCGTAGGGTCTCCACAACGCCCACGCCTGTTGCACGATGACCTTCTTTAAAACCCTGGGGTGATCCCGTCGCGGGGCGGACAAGGCGTGGGTTGGAGCGACGGTGACTTGGCTGCGGACGCGAGCGGATTCCCTGGAACAAAACAGTCCCGTGCGGGGGCTGTGCGGTGTCTGACGGCTGCTGGCGTGCTTCGATCTGCTTGGAGCGCGTTCGATGTTCTCGTTTGGGAAGCGACATCAGCGAATTTGCTGTTTCCGTTTAAATGGGGCGCGGCAGCTTGGGACGCAGCAATCAGTTTGGAGCGAGTTTGGTGTTTTGTTTGGGAAGCGGCCTCCAGCAAATTTGCAGGTTCCGCTTATGCTGGGCGCACAGTTGGCGCAGATTGGGATGGGGAGCTGAGCATGTGGCGTGGGAGCCTTGAGCCGCGTCAAGTCGGTTGCCAACGGGGTACGGCGCGCGACAGTCGTGGCACGGCGCGATGCGCGTCGTCGCCGGTGGATTTTGCGATCTCCCTGCTAAGATATATGCGTCTCGATTTCGCGATGTATCGGTTGCGACAGTCTCGATTTTGCCATGTGAAGATTGCGACATCTCTTGCGATCTGTCTGGCGGAACTCGGAGGGTTTACATGCCAGTTTTAAATCTGGTATCCCGAAATTTCGGGAGGGGCAGTGGAAGTCGCGGTCCACCGAGTGGCGGATCGTGAACGGGCCTGTTTACCTGGATGGGGTTTCAGCCGGTCGAGCCCAGGCGATGGCCGGCAACCCGTTCAAGTCTGCACTTTTATTGGGGCCTGTGCATACACGTGTTTGCATGGCAATCATGGCAACGATAAATTCGTCCTCTTTAAAGAGGACGATTTGGGGTCATCAACAGTGTACATGTCGCGAATCATTTTTCGATTGCATGCCTATTTAGGACTCGACACTTTGCCCATGTGGTACACTTATAATTATTCAGCGTTTCAGCTGAGTAAGCCTCAAATGGTATGCTAGCCCAGATCCCCCCTTTCCATACTTGGCGCCTTGTGACGGACTGGTCCGTTAATATGTACCGTTTCATGAGTGACTGCAATTGCAATCAGCCAATTGCAATCGGCTGGTGCAAGAATTGTGGTGCCTCCATAATTAACATGCCTGATTAACGATGGCAACTATGGATTGTCGTCCCCACTCTCGGCAGGTATTGGCCAAAGGTTGAATCCACCGGAGACGAGAAGCTGTAGGAGCAGCTCAGGACGCCGTCAGTTGAGACAGTTGGGACATTGGTTGAACATTCTGTGAAGATATCATAACAGGCTAGGGCCAACTTAAGCCATCGTTAACTTCTGTGACAGATGTTCTGTCGACGCCGCGCCAATCGTTTAACTCCTTGGCGCCAAGAATCTATCCCCCATCGCCAGGCTTGGTTTTTACGCTGTAAAAATTGATCGTATTTACGCTTTTACGCGTAAAAACAGTTTTTACGTTCTTACGCATAAAAATGAGTAAAAATACGTAAATACAACGTAATAACTGCCTGGTGTACATAAGGACAGTACATGCAGACTTGCGGAGTCCGGAGAGTGGCGGCCAGACACTCTGGAAGGGGCAGAAAACGAGTTTTTGTTAAACCGCATCATCGCCCTTGCCAAAGGCGATGTAGACATTGTGCTGCGGGTGCTGGAGATGGCGGAGCACTGATAATTGTGCGCAACTTTCATCATGTAACCTAGGTGTCGCAGGGACACGCAAAAACGTAAAAATAGCCGTAAAAATAGGCCCTTTTGCAAATTTACGCTTTTATGCGTAAAAACGTAAATGCAAAAATGTAAACGTAAATGTAAAAACCAAGCCTGCCCGTACCCCTTCCTCTAGGTTCGATTTGACCAATCACGCATCATATCCAACACAATGCCGCCTCTCAACTAAGCTGTCCAAGATGTGAGCACCGCTGGGTGTGTAGTGGGGCAACGATGCGTGAAGCATCACCCTAAACCAGTAGGAAAGTACAGTTTGCGGCATCTGTGACTCAGGCTGCTGCATGCGCCACGCAAGGCCGGTCAAAGTGGCATTTTCATTTCGAATGACATCGAATACATCCATCTCCAGTCAACGTGCACCCCGCGACAATGCCTCATCCCCAAAACTCACATTTGACATCCTGTGATTATTGGCCGCCCAGGTCATAATCCTATCACTCCGGACTGCTAGGACAACGAGCCAGCGGACACCTGTGTCAGGAGCAGGGGGGATCCCCCTGCTCCCTTTTGCCCGGGCCCAACCCAAGAGTCACACCGAAAAACCGCATTCCGATCGCAATTTCTGGCACGGGAACGAGGCCCGCCATCGACGGCCGATATGCCGGTATCGGCGCCACAACGCGCCACTCAACGCGACTGCCGCCGTTAGTCATCCCTCAAATCCGTGTTCAACACGGCTAGAGACTCTTCCCGCGTGGCTGCGGCGGGATTGGACTTGCGGACGTGTTGCCGCCGCCAATCCCACAGTCCACCAACCAACACTCAGTGGTTACAACCAGTTGTGGCATCCAGTCAGTGTTTGGCTCGTTGTCCGACCAGCAGTCGGACCTGTCCTACATCAGACTCTGGCAGCCAGCCCCTCGTCGGTCATGCGACGACCTTCGTCACCCGGTTGTCCCCCGCATCCCCTGCGACCCGTCCCAAGGCCGTAGCTGGCAGCCCCTGCGCCAAGGCTCCAAAGCGCCTCTTTGGCCAAGTCCGCGCCGCGGCGCTACAACTCCTTTAAGCCCGCCCAGCACTCTCGTAAAGCTCACCGTGGCTGGCGCCCAGTCTTGGTGGCTCCGAGGTGCCGCAGAATTCTCTTCTCTGGCCTGGACCCCGCGTTGGTCAGGAGGCCGCCCGAAGACCGGCTCTCCATTGACGACCTGGTTGTTCGGCCAGGCGGCTGGTACCTATAGGGGAGGGGCATTCCCCGTGGAGATTTCTTTGGGATCTGATCGGCCGTGAGGTGCGGCGAATGCGGTTGAGCCGCCC